TGCAACTGAAAAAAAAAAAAAACTCGTCGACGCAAAATTGGATCAATAATCAATCGTCAGTCATATCCACGGAGAAATATACGTGAGTTTATAACATAAAATAAACTAAAATATACATATAGTCTTTTAATTTTATACAGATAGATTAAAATATACACGTGGTTCTTTAATTTTATACAAGATTTTAATTTGGTCCTTTAATTTTAAAAAGCATACATTTAGTCCTTTAATCTTAAAATTATTAGGCTTCAATGATATTTTTTATAACAATCATGGACATTTTAAAAATTAAATTTAATATGTTAATATTTGAGAATATTTTATCAACGTTTAAGATCTCAATATCATCATTTCTTAAACAAAATTTAGGATTAAAGGACTAAAAATATACTTTTTAAAATTAAGAGATCAAATTGAGACCACAAAGTTAAAGGACCAAGTATATATTTTAGCTTATAAGGCAAGGATTAACTTTTCTCACGTGTCAGTTAAAAATTTAGTCATTAAATTTATTTTAAAGTGATAGAGTTTTTCCATTTCATCATTAAAAATAATAAAGTTGCTTTTAATGTCACTCCCTCCTATCCTATTTATGAGTTTCAGGGTGTGTTTGGATTAGTAGTGGTAGAAGTAACTTTTTTTCAATCTGAATTTTATAGAAGTCATATTGAATAAAAGTCAGATAATGTGATGTGATTTATATTTGGATTGGGTTTTGTAAAAAAAATCAGTTTAAGAAGTTAAAATATGTTTGGATGATAAATATAAAAATAAATTTGGATGTAAAATGATTTAAAAGGATATAAATTTTATTAAATAATACATATATAATATTATATATATATATATATATAATGTGACCACTGTAAAAGAAGTAATAAAAATAAAATTATTAAAAATAAAAAAATTTAATTTATTATTAAAAAAATTATATATAATATGACCATCTTAAAAGAAGTATTGTAAATAAAAATATTAATAATTAAAAATTTTAATTTATCATTAGAAGAAAATTAAAAAAAATAAAATATTTAATTAAATATATACTCCTCCGGTCCTTAATATATGACCCAATTCTTGAGTTGGTTTTGGTCCTAAATGTAAGACCCATTTCTCATGTTTATCAATTTTCTCTAAATTACCCTTATGGATACTCCCTCAACCATAATCAAATAGAAGAGGGAGAGGGGTATTAAGAAAGATGATAATGGTATTTTAGGAAAAATATGTCACTTTTCTTATAATTAACTAACTTACCTAACTTCCTTAATCTAATCAAATTAGTTAAATGGGTCTTATATTAAGGACCGGAGGAGTATAATGGATAAATATACATATAAATTAGAAACCATACAAATGTATTAAAATATCAGCAACAGTTGACGTAGAATGTGACCAGATGGTTCTTTGCTGATCTTTTTCCACCCTTTCTCGTATGTGTGTGTATATATTCAACAGTATTCCTCCGACGCTCCTTCCACGGAAAAACAAAAAGCAGCCTCAATTGAGTTTATTGCATAAGTGCATTCATAAGCAGAAATCAGATACATCTCAACGTGAACCCAAACATCATTCTTGAACCTGTCTTTTGCTTCTCTGGTTGGGATGTATATTTGGAGTCCAAACGTGATCCCAAACACATCCTTAAATTGAGAGAGAAGTGTGATTTATTTTTATAAATTTCAATTTGGTATTTATCTTAACATTTAATGCACTTTTTATAATTTTACTATTAATTATTTATTTTCTCCTTTTGTCATGATCTCTTATCACATTTCTCTATTTTTTTTTATTTGTTATAGGGACATATTTAAAAACAAAAATATATTTCTAACTCATTCATTACTTTTAAATTATTTTAATTAATTTTTCGTTATCTGTGAATTAGTTATTTAAAATTTATAATAAGGATTTAACTGTCTCTCATCTGTCTCCTATATTGAATGTGAATGAAAGTGAAAAAATCACACTAATTATCCCGATAACAACTTAAATTTTGGATCATAATTTTTTCATAACTAACATATATTATGGATCAAAGGAGTATCTTAAAAGCAAGGGTTTTAAGATCGATCACTTAAAAATAAAGATTAGTTTTATATTCTTAAAAGAAATTTAGATTTATTTTTAAGAAAATATTATCGTCAACTTAGCTGAATATGGAAAGCAGTTTTGATTGCAGATATCTTTTAAGGGAACTAAAAAAAGAAAAGAAAAAAAAGGCATAAAATCTGTCGTCTTATGATCACGGTGCTTGTTTCACGTTGCCTTTGTGACTCTGTGAGTGAAAACTCGTCGACGCAACGTGTGATTATTAATTAACCACTAGTGATGAAGAAGATGCTTTTAGTATCACAAAAAAAAAAAAAAAACCAGCTGCCAGTGAAAGTGGTGCTAAGTGTTAATCCGTAGTCCATGCTACTCTCTAAGGGAGTATGAAAGATTCTTTTTCTTAATATAAGATTTAGTTCCCAATTAATTTGCATTACAAATTCTATCTCAGATTAAAAAAAGGATGTAGTATTTATCATATTTTATTCCAGATCTGGTCTTTTACCCTTTTTTTTTTCCATTCTGAGAGATTATATTTATTATTGGATTTTTTTATATATTATACACCAGATTTTATTAATTTTTTTCGGTATATTGTGATTTATTATGTCTTGTTTATTTTTTTGTTATTTGTTTGTGTGTTTCGATTTTATTCCACGTCTTAATTTATATTTTAGGCAATTTCATACCTCGAAATCAATAAATTCTAATAATTTATACTACCTCCGATTCTTAATATAAGACATTATTTGACTTTTATTTTGGTCATAAATATAAGATTTCAATCCACTTTGTCTCTCATATTTATGGATTTTTTCAAGATAATACTTCTAACAATAGTAGTTTTAGCTAATATACTTGATTAGCAATGATATTTTAAGAAAGACAATATCTATTTATTACAAATAACTAACTTAACTTTTTTTTAAATTTTTTTAAATTAGTCAACCAGTTCTTATAATTAGGATCGGAGGAGGTAGTATTTGAAATGTTTTGAAAAATGAAAACGGAAAAAAAAAAAAAAACAGTGCTCATGAGCCCGCGTGTAATGGGTTTGGCCGCGACGTAAGCATGCAATATGAGGAAATGGGTGCTTCCCGACGCTGATTCAGACATCTTAGATGAAAATATAAATAACGCAACAATACATTTAGAAAATTTAAGTATAAAGGGATAAAATAAATATAAACACATTTTAAAAGATAACAGAAATTTCTTTAGGAAATTGTCATAGAATATTAATAAAAATTAATTCATGATCCTGGTTGAATTTTGTTTAAGCTTCTCATTGGCCTTTTGCGAGCATTCCTTATCTAGGAGCGTGTTTGGAACACTGTTGGAGGAAAAAATGTGTCTTGAAAAAATATCAAACGTGAGTTGGTGGCTTATTAAAATGTGAGGTATTGTTTGGATTCACGTTAAAACAAATGGGTTTTTTATTTTAAAAAAAAAGTGTTCTTCTCTGATTGCTTCATCTTCATCCTCTGATGTTCTTTTTTTTTTTTTTCATTCTTCTGAATTCTGTCCTTGCTTATTATTATTATTTTTTAATCTCTGATTATTCCTAGTCTTTCGTCAATCTTTTTTGTCGGCTCGCTTTCTCAACTTCAACTTCTTTTTCTTCTTCTTCTTCTTATTCTTTTTTTTTTTTTTTTTATCGTTTTTTAATATTTATCAACAAAACTAGTAAATTGAAAAGCTCATTTTTGAATTGGTCGATTCACACCGGTTCAATAGAGAGCGTGACAAGTATTCTTCGATTTATTTATTTGATTGGTTTATGTGGTGTGATTTTATATTACACCACTTCTTATACTTAATATAAAAGCTGATTGACTAATCATAGTAAATTAAAATAATTAACTAAGTTAATTATCTGTAATAAATATGTGATGTCTTCTTAAAAATACTCTTATTAATCATGTGTATTAGCTAGAAATGCCATTTGATAAAATATTTAATATGTGTAACTATTATAAGGACTATCTGAAAATAAAATGAATAAATATTAGAGATATAGTGAATTGATATCTTATATTTAGGACTAAATTGAATATCAAACTAACTTTTATATTAAGTATCGAATGAGGTAGTATAATGGGTGGATATAAATTATGCCTAATTTTAGGATCTAAATTCTCTGTTCATAGAAAACATCGGCAAAAAATTTTTGGGGTAAAAAAACAAAAGATGAGAATTTATTTTAATATCATGGCATAATTAATGTCTATTCTGCCCTATTCAACAAGATATATAAATATTCTCGTATTAATTTAAAGAATGCTCGTAATTTAAACTCTATTGATAAGGTCATATTACTTTTTTTAATTTAAATAGTAATCGTAATGTAACCTCTTTATGTTTTTTTGTTGCTAGAGTATAGGTATTTTCTCATTAGAAGTAATCATATTCGACGTAATATCAAATACTAAATGTGGACACTTTTCCTAACAGAAATTCAAATATTGATTCACTATATTGTGAGGGACCAGTTTTTTCTGTTAGACTCAACTCTTATTGGTCACCTCTTTACGTTTTTACATTATGATTCATTACCAGTTGTGTTTTTCGGCCACTCGATTCATTACCAGTTGTTAGGTACAAATGGGCCTTCTTCCTGATACTTTCAGGGGGCTTCTATTTCGAAACCATGTAGTATCCTGGCAGCAGGCACCCAAGGGTTTTTACTTTTTTCGGTTTGCCTTGTTTTGTTTCGACTTTTGACGGCACGGAACCCGAGGGACTTCCGGGAGGCGAAAAGCGAACTATATTGCGAACTCAGCAAACAAAAATGAATTTTTCCCCCTTAATTCGTTTCGTTTTGGAGATGCATGCGGACTCAAGCGAAGAGAGCCGCCAAAAAAATAAAAAAAATAAAATAAAACAGAGCCGCCGGGCAAGCCCGAGGCGCCTTCCTTGTGGAGCTTTATAGCTCGCAGTCATAGTCGAAACTACTGCGCAGCTTCTCTCTCCTCTCTGAACCCACCAAAGTGCGCCAAAACCCCGTCGTTTATTCAGTTTGTCGATATTCGCTGGGACAACCGATTCGTGCATTTCCATCTTCTGAGTCCAAGGTATCGTGTCTCTGGCCGAAATGCGGAGAACATACTTGGAAATGTCCTTTTTTTTTTTTTTTTTAAACTTTGTTCTTGTTTCTGCCACTGATATTTAACCCACTGCAATGTTGTGACCGATCGCCCTTGTTTGAATGACGTGCAGACAGAACTCTGGGGCACTTGATGAACTTGACTGATAACTGATTCAGATCTCTGAGAATTCTTTCTCATTTGAGTTATTTGTCGAAATAACTGACTGGAATAAGTCATTTTTTCCCCTTCAGCCCCTCACAATCGTTAACTGAATAAGCATGGCGAGTGCTCTGCAACTCTGTGGGGCTAAGAACACCTTCTCCATTGCTCCGCGTAGTTTGCATTGCCAGCCTCTGTTATCGCGGCGAATTTGTTTTGCCGCATCTGTTTCTGGATTATGTTGTATAAGAGGAGTATCAAGGGACCGGGTGTCATTCAGTGTCAGCTGCAAAGCTGCTAAAAGTGATTTACTTGAGAAGGATGAGACTGAACACCCGAAATTCTCTGAGACGGAAAAAAACTTCACGAGCGTCATGAAGTTTGGTGGCTCATCTGTTGCTTCTGCAGAGAGGATGAAAGAGGTTGCTAGCCTTATTCTAAGCTTTCCAGAAGAGAATCCTATAATTGTACTCTCTGCGATGGGAAAGACGACTAACAAGCTTTTATCGGTATTGTTTTCTGGTTTATTTCATGTCAATAATCTTTCTAATTTCTTTTGGTAAATAGAAGTATGAGGAAATGTAAATCATTTGTTAGGCTGGAGAAAAAGCCGTCAGCTGTGGTGTTGCCCGTGCGTCATGTATTGATGAACTCAGCTTTATAAAAGACCTGCATCTCAGGCAAGAGCAATGGTTTTTTTTTTTACCCACCCCCCCCCCCCAATTTTTTTCATTTTTCTTTTCTATTTGAAGTGGAAATACGTGCGTGCGTGTGTTTTAAATCACACCCTACTTAACTAATGTCTTCTGATTGGGTGCATCTCTCTCATCCAGGACTGTGGATGAGCTTAAAGTGGACAGATCTGTTATTGCAAGTGAGTTACCTTACTCGACATTAGATCTGCAGTTTAAATTGGATAAACGGAATATCCATTTGTATCATGGCCTTATGAGGAACTCACCTTGGCTGCCCTGCTATTTGGGTCTAAGGATTAGCACGCATGTGCTTGACTTGCATCAGTATTTTCATTTCTCATGCATTCATAGCTTTACATCGTTGACGTAGTTTGTGGAATTGGTCCTTGTTTGAGTGAGATTAAAATTTTTTCCATAATTGTGATTGTTGTCACAGGCAAAGATGGAGACTTGGTTTGAGCTGGTTTCGTCTTGCATTCCCTCAAGTGACATAGTAGCCCATTATATGAAGTTAGAAAATAGAATTCTATTTCTTTAAACGAGACCAGATCAAAGTATTGCTTATGTTTAATTGTTGAAGAATGGATCAATTATTGACATATGTGGATTATATACTTTTTCAACATTCTACCTCTAGAAGTAATGATACAAGGTTCCAGCCTCCAGAGGCTTTTTTTTTTTTTTTTTTTTAAATTATCATTGCTGCAACTTTTCCATTGTGGTTTCACTCATTAATTGAACTAATTCTACCATATATCTTCTCCCCGCTCAGTTCCCTGCATGGCTGTTCAAGTAATTTTCATTTGTTTATGCTCACATCTTTGATGATCTTGGTTTTCTGGCTGCAAATATATATAGATCATCTAGAAGAACTGGAGCAACTTCTGCAGGGTATTGCTATGATGAAAGAGATGACTCCGCGGACTAAAGACTATTTAGTTTCATTTGGAGAATGCATGTCCAGTAGGATCTTTGCTGCGTATCTTAATAAAATGGGTGTTAAGGCTCGCCAAGTATGTACTTCTGGTCTTCTCATCTAGGTCATATTGAACTAAAAAGCTTCACTTTTGAATTATCAATAAATTTTGTCTGGCTAGGAATAAATTGTTCAGTTTTTATCTGTAGTAACTGTTCCCTATGATTTATCGCTAATTTCATGCGTGGCAGTATGATGCATTTGAGATTGGTTTTATTACCACTGATGACTTTGCAAATGCGGATATTCTGGAAGAAACTTACCCGGCTATTGCCAAGACATTATGTGGAGATTGGGCTTCTGACCCTGCTATACCAATTGTAACAGGCTTCCTTGGAAAGGTCTAACTGACGCCTTACTTTTCAAACTCTTCTTTTCGCTTTTTCCTCTCTGGATGTTTGCTTTGCTGAAATACAAACTCGTGAATTAGAAAACTGATATTTTCCCTTTATTTCTTCTTCCAGGGCCAGAAATCATGTGCTGTAACAACACTGGGTCGAGGGGGTAGTGATTTGACGGCTACAACAATTGGTAAAGCACTAGCGTTGCCTGAAATCCAGGTTAATATATAGAAACCTAGTTATGCATATCTAGAATGAAGCATGTCAGTAGACTTTATTTATATGTTGAATGAGAAGCTAGATATCGGGATTAGCTCTGTCATTGGGTATTCATTCAATGAATTCAGTATACGTATGAAACATTAACATCGAGTGCTGCAGAGTTCATCACATAACTTCATTACTTTTTTCAAGATTAAATGTAGGAGAAAGGGAAACAAATTGATGGTAATCTCTTAAACAGGTATGGAAAGATGTTGATGGTGTTTTAACCTGTGATCCAAATATATGCCCACAAGCAAAACCTGTCCCATATTTGACATTTGACGAGGCTGCTGAACTTGCTTACTTTGGTGCTCAGGTATTGTTGTATTTGTCTTCTAGTTCTGCTGATCGTATTCTGTGCAGCATCTCCCTTGCATTTAAAGATTCTAGTTTGCCTGCCCGGTTGCTTTTAAGTTTGCCTCACTGCATCGTTTCTTTATTGTTATATTATTTGGGAAGTATTCATACCTCAAAATTGGCAGCAGTATCCATACTGTATGTGTCTCCAATACTGATAGTCTCAGTACGCATCCCAAGATTATCATGTTTTCTTTTCAGGGAGACAATGCTTGATGTGTTAAATCAAAGTGATCATTCATAATGTTGTAGTCAGCGGCATGATTCTTAGGATACCAGTTGATAGGACTTCAGCCTTATGTATTTTACTATATTGTCAAAGGTAATTATCGGTCATTTATTTGATTAGTTCCTTTTGCAGGTCCTGCATCCACAGTCTATGAGACCTGCTAGAGAAGGTGATATTCCTGTTAGGGTTAAAAATTCTTACAATCCAAAGGCTCCAGGTACTGTCATCACCAAGACAAGAGATATGAGCAAGGTTTGTATCAATTCATTATTGGTATGGATAATAATTAAATGACACCCTGTCTTGGAAAACTAGACTATGTTTAAAATTTCCCTTTTCACTTGCAGGCAGTACTGACTAGCATTGTCTTGAAGGGTAATGTGACTATGTTGGATATTGTTAGCACCCGCATGCTTGGCCAGTATGGCTTCCTTGCTAAGGTGATAAAGCTAATGCCTGGGTTGCTTGTACAAATAATCGATCTCCTTCAAGTCTTCATAATTTGCTATATATGCAGGTCTTTTCAATTTTTGAAGATTTACAAATATCAGTGGATGCTGTAGCTACGAGTGAAGTCAGCATTTCCTTGACATTAGATCCATCAAAGCTATGGAGCAGAGAGCTAATTCAACAGGCAAGTGTAAGACGTTATGCTCTTTCAAATTTTTGTTTCTTACATTTGATTTGCATGAGGGCACCCATTGCGGGTTTCATGTGTTGCGTGGAGTCTAAGGCCAGCCTTATAATTTATGGTACATGAACAATGAAATTTTATATAGATTATATATATATATATATATATATTGATGATTTGCGCCTTTTGTCCTATCAATGATCATGTTAATCATATCCTATTTTGTGTTGAATTTATATAATCCAGCCATTGCATGAATCTGACTGGTTGTCACCCGCATTCTTTTTGGACAGGAGCTTGACCACGTTGTTGAAGAACTGAAGAAAATTGCTGTGGTAGATCTCCAACAAAATAAATCTATCATTTCTCTCATTGGAAATGTTCAGAGGTCATCATTGATATTAGAGAAGGTTCTGTTTAGTGTTCTCTCTATCTGAATGCTATCCTTGATTTATGCTGAAGTTTTTGTTTTATTGTATCCAGTTTTAATTGCTTCTGTCATGGTTAGCACCATACCGTTATCTGGGCCGCTTACTCCTCTTCTGTTCTCTATCTGTGACCTTGGCCCATTGTCAATATCAGCATCTTGGAATAAAGTCCACAAATTCATAAATTGCTTTTTTTGGCCCCCTGGCTCAAGCTGATTGAAATGTGCTAGAAATCGTAAATCTTGTCTGGCTCTTTTATTTTGACTAATAATCACATGTTGCATGTTGCTGCAGGCATTTCTTGTTCTCCGAACCCTTGGGGTCACTGTTCAAATGATCTCTCAGGGCGCGTCCAAGGTAATCCTTATTCACTTGCGCGTTATTTATTTTCCACGTTGATTGCTATTAGGTGGTTATTGACCTTTTCATTTCCCGGCACACTAGGCTCTATAAAGTATCTTCGGCTAGCCCTGCTCCTGAGTGCAAACATTCGTAACTTTCTCATGGGGCTAGCACGAGACCTTCTCACCTACATTGTACTTCCGTGTCTTCTAATTCTATCAGCTTTCTAGACTAGGGCACTCGTCGGAAAGTCAATAATCTAAAATTTTCATTTTAATGTTACCCTTCTGATTATTCTGTTTCATTTCTTGACAGGTTAATATCTCGTTGGTTGTAAATGATAGTGAAGCAGAGCAGTGTGTCAGGGCTCTCCACGCAGCTTTCTTTGAGAGTCAACAATCTGACTCTGATTTGGAGAAACAGTACAAATATGGAAATGGTTCTGTTCCTGCATCATCATAGTCAGCGCTGGAGAGCCCCCTCGTAGAAATATACATCATTCTCAGCTTATCAATATTAACTTAGCATGTTCTCGCCCCCCTCTGTACGATTGAGACGCAGGTGGGTTGGTAGGAAGTCATCGGCTATATAAGTTCTTGTTTTGTGCGATTTGACCGTTGTAGTCTTTGGTAGTCGCCTTCAAGGGGTTGGCCGGTAGCCCTTCATTATTTATTGTATTTAAGGAGGGGAATTTTAGGCCATATTACCTATAGCTCGCTCTAAACCAATAGAATTTTGGTTTTGAAGAAAAGTTAATATAGGCTATTATAAACATGTGAGCCATGTCGGGAAGTTCTTGTAGCTACTTCTCAAGAGTTCCCTTTAGGTCAGAGATGATCATGGTCCTTGTGGAATGAGTACAACGAGGTTTTGATGTGATTGAATAAACCAATCGGAGTCGATTTCAAGCCAAGAGTTGTATTCGGCAATAGGGATACATACATGTTTGATTGCTATTCTACAAATTTTGGATATCTACATAAATTCAGGCTGTGATGGGTGTTAGTATTATTATACTTGGAAATATTCCTTGTTGAAATTCTATTCCTGACAAAAATTCCTACAGATCATGTAACCTTAGTGCTAGCTAACTAACTAATTATTAAGGAATTTTCGTAGGGTGTTGATATGATAGTTTGCTAATGCTGGCTATTATTGAATGGTGCATAGGATGATTTAGATTCTTTCATTTATTTTCACTTGAGAACTTAATTTGATAAATACAGTGTAATGTAACGCAGAGGAAGCAATCGTCGATATTTCTCATTCAAATTTAGGTCATGAAGCTATTCTAATGATACAATAGTAAAGACTTTATCTTCTTATTTATCTAACATTTTGTAAGTACGCTATTTCTACGCAATAAAAGTAAAAATAAATAAATATTCCTTTAAATAACTTTTTAATACCTCACACATATCATTAAAAACAATTGGACCTGAATTAAATTATATAATATTATTTTAAGTTGGCAGCTCTTTATTTCACAACGTTAATTAAGCAACTTTTAATTGCACATAAATGTCATATAAATTAAAAATAATTAATGCTCCACAAAGATGTAATGTGACTAATAATTAGGGCTGAAAAATCCATCTAAAAGTGCCCGTTAAGGATTAGAATAGCGTGCAAGATGACTATAATTTTCCTCTTCTCCAAATCATTCCATTTTCAATGGATCTTCATTTTTAAGAAATATGGCTCTGGGTCGGGCTCCAGTTAATTGGTATGACTATTTTTTTTTCCTTGAGAAAAAAAGCATTTTGCTCTCACAAGAGAAATCGTCAGGGATTTTTTTCGACAAAACGAAGACTACCAGTAATCCCCACAAGAGCAAAATCCATTTCTGAAATGATGGAACCTGCTCGAGTCCCTAACTGTGATTTCCCTTCGAGATATTTTGGAGATCACCTTGATGGCAGCATGGCAGTCAGTACAAGCTCGGAGGTTCTTCATCACCAGGATAGGTGTCCCTTCTGGTGTGCTAATTAGCGCAAACGCAATGGCAAGACGTTCACTGTGATATTTAAGAGACTCTATCTTGAGTCCCTCATCGACATCGTGAAGGGTACAACTTGGGTCGGGTTTGTACCCTGCTTTCTCCATCTGCTCAGCCAGCTCATCAATCTTCTTCATAATCTCTTTCGCTTGTGGGTGAGTCTCGTCACCGGCTGAGAAAACATGAATTTTGTGCTTAACTTCTACCCAACTGTAAGCTGGGAGTTTTCTAACTCCTCGCTCTCTCATAGCCTTCTTCACCTTGCTTACGCTGTCCCATTCACCAGCTTCTGCATAAATATTGGACATGCTGATATATGGAGCAGCATTCCTAAGCATTTTCATATTAAATAGCTTGTCTGCTGCTTTCTTTGCTAGCTCTTGATTCTTATGAATTCTACATGCGTTAAGAATTGATGACCACATTATTTCATCAGGTTCAAAAGGCATCTGAGCGATCAGTCTCTCAGCTTGGTTAAACCTTCCGCTCCTACAAAGCATGTCAACCATTGAAGCATAATGTTCTCTTTTTGGAACAAGTTTATAAGTTTGAGTCATGGAGTCGAAATGCTTTAATCCTTCTTCAACCAGACCACAGTGACTGCAGGCACACAGAACAGTAAGGAAGCTAACTGAATCTGGTTGCAAACCCGAATGGATCATTTGTTCAAATGACCTAAGAGTAAGGTCACCGTCTCCATTTTGTGCATAAGCTGAAATCAGTGCATTCCAAGAGACGGAATTCCTTACAGGCATCTCTTGAAACATTTGAAGTGCATCTTTCATGGATCCACATTTTGCATACATATCAAGGAGTGCACTTCCGGAGAATACATTTGAAATGTATCCGGATCTGACTATGTATGAGTGTAACTGTTTTCCCAATGAAATTGAGGCTAAGTTTGCACAGGCTCTTAAGATGCTAGCATAAGTGGCTGAATCAGCGCTTATTTTGGACTTCTGCATCTCAAAGAATAGAGTCAGGCCTTCTTCGTGGAGCCCCTTCTGGACATATGCTGAGATCAAGGCTGTCCAAGGAACGGAACTTTGGTGAGCCAGACTTGCAAAAGTCCTATTTGCTTCGTCAAATTTGCCACACTTGGCATACATGTCAACCAAGGCATTTCCAACCTTAATTTCAGAATCCGCAGTTGTCACAATAGCTTGGGAATGAATTTGCCTGCCCAATTCCAGGTTTAGATTATTTGCAGCTATGCTTAATATGGTTGAAAATGGGAATTGCCTCCGGTCAAATTTAGTATACTGCAATTCCCGGAAAAGATCAAGAGATTCTCTGAGTTGGCCATTCCAAGAATAACATGTAATTAGGACGTTGTAGGAGACACCATCCAGTTCTGGCATCTCATCGAAAAGCTTCTTTACTTCAGCAACACAGTCATGCTTCGAGTAGAAATCAAGTAATGCATTAGCCACAAACACATTCCAGACAAAACTCGTCTTCACTACAAAGCCATGAACTTGCTGCCCAAATACTATATGATCCAATGCTACACCGGTGCATAAAATAGCAGCAAAAGTAAAATCTGTAGGACTAAAACCCAACTTCTGCATTTCAAAAAAGAGACTTATTGCTTCTTGATTCATTCCATCTTTTGAGAGTCCTGTCAATAATGCATTGAAAGAGACAGAATCTTTATCAGGCATATGGCTGAACAGGTGACAAGCTAAACTAAGACTACGGGTTTTACAGTAAGAATCGAGCAAGGAGTTGCAAACCATTAGGGTTGAATCATACCCCAATTTGACAATATGGGCATGAACTTGGTTTACTTGGCATACGGAGTCAGACTCACTGAATCCGGACAGGAGAGTGGCAAAGGTGATATAATCTGGGTGTGTACCCCACCGACACATCTCAGCAAAAAGACTAAAAGCTTCGCGACCTTGATTTTTCTGAGAATATGCTCCGATCATGATGGTCCAGGTAACGGCCGTACGTTCAGTCATTGAATCAAACAGCTGCCTGGCACTAGAAAGATTGCCTGCCTTTATGTACCCCGTGATCATCATATTTTTGGATATGGTATTCTGTTGAGGCATTTGATCAAACAACTTATGGGCTAATCCTAAATTCCTTGTTGTATGGACTTCTTGACCTGGAAATTCACACGGCACGTGTCGGGATTGAAGCCAGTCTTGACGGAAAAAGCATCCGCAACGTTTTCAGGCTGAATGAGTGGTTTCGGATGTCGCGGAGCTCTCAGAGTAGCAATTGTCCTCATGTATGGCTTCCTCATAATTTACCAAAAATAGAAAATGAACTCAGAGTCTCAAACTCAAAGTTGCCGTTTGGCGCGAAAGTGCAGCATTCCTGAAGAGAGCGGAAGCTTCACCACGAGGGCTGAGGCTCCCGCCACAGACGCACTGCCCAACTATAACCCAAAAAGACCAAGGGCCCAAAGACCCAAATCTACATGCGGCGTTAATATCTTTTCGGTAATCAATTTCTCTCCCCCATCCTGCCTCCTCCTCGCTTGTCCTTTCTGGTGGGAAAAAATCTGTTTCTAGTTTTTAGAAGTTTTTGACTTGTTTCCTACTCTAAATAGTTTTCCGGAAATGTACATATTCATAATTGATGTAGAAGCTGACATATTGATTTTAAAATTCCGCATGCCTTAGCCTTAAGGTAAAAAAGGCAAGTTCATATGTAATATTTTCATATTGAGTTAAAAGGACATGTTCAGGTCAAGACAATTTTATTACAAGTTCGGAGACGTAAATAGTCATAAAAAAAACTCAATTTTTTTTTAATGTTTTGTCACGATAAATCTCTGTCTCGCACACATGTAGGTGAGGAGTTAATTCTTCTTTAAAGAATAAAAGGATTTTATCTCAAAAAGAAATCCTCAACTCATGAAGGCGATGAAGGAACAGGAAAACAGTGAAGGATTTGAATTTTGAAGCTTCAACGTATATTTATATTATGACTACTCAACATAAGCTTCTGACAAAGTTCATGTTTATTTAGAAACAAGCACTTCTTCCATAGGAAGATTTATCCTACTAGGCATCAAATGCTTTTTATCTCGGATTCATATTCAAAGTAAACCATAAAGGTGCGAATTTCCATTGGGGCAAGCTCCACAGATAGCTCTTTAGGATCAACAGGCCCTCCCCTAAGAACACGTTCGTCCCCAGAATAGCCCTCTACTTTCCACTTGAGTCTTTTTTTCTCCATCTCTGTCCTTTCTTGATTCGCAGATAAACTCATCTCTTTCACCTCTTTGATCTAACACGAACAAAGACACAGCATTATAGAAGACAAAGACAAACAGGAGAGGGATTAAAGCCCGTTAATTTTTCAGAGGGCTTTTACCTTTTTCCTTGGGAACAGCTTTTTCAGCTCTACACTCGCCGTTGCAGAGAGATCCTTGTCTTCGTCAATCTTTCCATAGATTTGATGGACCATAAGAGTGAGGGAGTAAAACAAGAAGCAGGTACAGAATGTAGAAATTTATAATAGTAGCAGCAGGCAACAAGCAAGAACATGTAGTCATTATAGGTAGAGATAATGAGTAAGAAGCATATCATATGGGGCATGGGCACAGGCGGGCCTTTAGTCTCCCACTCAAATGCAGTTTCTCACTTTCTAGATTAACGCGATTTCTTCAGAGGACCTCCAAATTCACAAGGGCAAACATGATTTCGTCTCTGGTTAACTTTTAACGAATAAAAAATTATGAAAGTTGATTTGTCAGTAGGCAAATGGCAAGAATCCTTCTGTTTGTGAACATGGGGAAAGCGTGAAATTTAAAAACTTTTATATTAGAAAAGATATTCCATTGTAAGAAAGTACGCACACGGCCAACAAACAAGTACTCGAAAGGGTAAGGTTACATTAAAAATAAAATACAATAAAATAAAAGAAGCTCATTTCAAAGCTTTGCTGAAGCAAATTATATAATATACTTTTCAAGAATGCAATTCAAACCTCGTATAAATGTGCTAACCGAAGGAGAACTTTTCCCCCGTCTAGTTCCTGCATAACATGAAAACACATTATTTACAAATTAAAGAGCATCTAAATAAAAATAGACATCTATACACACATGTAGACACACAAATACAAAGCAGGATTTGATGCCATCATTATTGAGACAATTTTTTAATAATCTCTTGTTTTAAACAAGAGATAATTTCCTTGACCAGTTAGTTACCTGTAAGGTGATAATTGCAACGTTGTCCGGCAATCTGTAATTAGAATCAATTCCTGAATAAGTAAGAATATGGGAATTGACCCAGTCATCTCCATCCTGCCAAAAGGAACTGACGTTTTAGTGACTGATACACAGAACAACTTCTTTCTTTTCCAGTTTTAAATTTCACCTGTTCAGAGAAGGCCAAGAGAAGCGGAGAATATATTTCCTGGCCAAATGTACGACGCCACTTGGCACCCTCACCCAAGGGATCTATTCTAAAGTATACTTTTCCTTGGATCTGCAAAATATTATAGTAAGAAAAATATTCAAAAGCGGAGGAAATTACTCCGAATTGACCCACACTGAGGACAAAGTATGGAAAACTAAGCCTTGATTAATTCTTTGATTTGGTGACATCAGGAATATAGTGCTTTCATATTTGCTACATTTTCAAGTTATTAGTAGAGCATCAATAAGAAATTTCTCAGTGCTGTCCAAAAATATTGGCATTTGAAGTATTTTCTTTCTCCACATGAAGAATGGTTTTACTCTTTTTTAAATTGAAAAAGCATCAATAATCAATAATCAATAAATACTATGAAATCTTTAGGCAGCTGCGATGATTCACAAGTCATGAACAACATGACTCGCTATAGCATCTCTACAAAATATGGGGCCCAGATTCCATTTTGTTCAACAAGGAACGCAAATGCCTCAATGTAGATGAGATGAGTCCAAACTAGTGCATTGCATCAGAATTTTAATGATAGCAAGCTCACAAGGCACCAGCCTCGGCATTATTATATAGTTGAGATTAATGTCAATGAGCCTGACCCACCCTTCTGCTTTCCCTAGGCCCAAATTCTTGATACCTCCTCCTCATGGGTAGAAGGGCACGTGCATGTGTGTGTGTTACCCATGACTTAGACGGCAAATAAATTCTTAGTTCTTACTATTAGGCCTCTGCAATCATCAACAACACAGACTGTTTCATTTAAAGCCTCCTTAACACCTCTTGAATCATCGAGTAGCAATCTCCTGTCAACAGCAAAGAGAGTGATTCAGTTTTTGTTTGACAAAAGAAAATTCATTACAATGGAAAGGTGCCCTTAACAAGCAAATGGAAAATGAAGATATATATCTAAGAAAAAGGAATCAAAGTGAAAAGCATTCTTGTGCCCTTCCTGAAGACACTAAGATCTAGGTTAAGTGAGACATTGCAATACTAGCAGCCATGGATATTCGAACTAGGCCCACGAAAGTAACCAAAAGGGCATGACAGATGAATCTTGACAGCAATCTGTTTCTAGCACCCTCTAAAGGGTAATGTGCTTGCCTGTGAACCATTAGCTCTATTTCTCCATCAGCTAAGCTGGATCCTCCTACAGATCGATCCACCAAAACTGAAAATTCTGTCTTGTTATCTTTTACATATATCCCAAGATTAATCTGAAAGGACCAAATAAAAATATAGTGAATAAAAAAGAGGAATGGTCGTTGTTTGCTGTACATTTGCAGAATCACCATAAAGAAAGCAACTTGAATTCTGAATTTTGTATGTGAGAGATACAAGCTATCACAATCAGCATAAAATGGTAAGATGAGTTGTTGAAAGAAAGTTAGGTGGATCACAGGACTTGGGTCACAGTCTAGCAATTACATACAAAACGTTAAGTCCCCTTATGTCCAGTAACCGCTGATTTCTTACCACTCAGTCCTCAGGGTAGGATTAGATGAAGGCACAATACATGCTAAACGTGGGGCATTAGAAAAGATGTTATTATAATAAGGAAAAATAAAACAACATAAAAGGAGCACTCTTGTCTATCTAGCTCATGAAAATAAATTTGAGAAAATTAAACACTTGGTTCCTTTGGACTATCACAATTTTCAATTAGGTCTTATAGTATACCTTTTTCTAAAATAGTCTTCGTATCTCTTTTGGTTTTAGCGCCAGTACCAACACTTTACGAACAATAAAATCCCACTCCCTACCATATCCATGAGGCTTGACACCGTCAATTTTTGGCTAAGGTGGTAAACAATACGTACATACAGACTTAAATGCACAGGGCAAAGATGTGTCATCATATTGGGCACGCGTGCTTTATATGTTAGCACAGAAGTTCAGATATTTTATCGTGTATGTGAATATACATAGTTCAATGGATTCCCCAAAACTTAGCATATTGAAGGCGATATAAGATTCTTAATTGGACTCACGAAACACAGACTCTGAATCTCAGAGCAAGGTAGACTTAATTATTCCTGCAAAGACGAGATGAAGGTATGTTTCCAAAGAATTTCTCAGATATTGAACCTAAGACAATGAAATGAAAGCACTGATTTTCTGGACAACAGGCGCGTTTGGAAACAGAGGGGACTGCATCTTCTGATACTCTTGAGTAGTCCGAAACAAATCAATATTCATGGAAATGTGAAGCGATAACGAGTGACATGGGAATAGTTTGGAAGTACAGCTAGATTGATTAGAAATAACAATTCTCCAGGGAAGGATAATGTAAAACTAGAACATGAAACAATATAGATGATCTCAAAAGAAATCATGTGAGATAGTTCACATACAGGATAATAGTTTCCAGCAATAGGTTGGTTCACTTCCAGGTCCCAGTCTGATCTGTAATCACGTATCTGCAATAAATTCCATCGTTCAGGTCATACCCAAAAGGTCCCCAGGAAAAAAAACAGCTATCCCAAAATATTTTTTTTTCCTGAAAATAAAAAAAATTAAAAAAACCGACATATACCAATTTGTGAGCAGTCTAATATGAAGTGACATTTGCTTCCTGTGTTTTAGTGACTTTAAACTAGTGGAGGGAGGGGAACAATGTTCACAAATTAACTTATGATTGAAGCAACTATAGAAGATATCATTTATCTTTATTTCATTGTGAAAACAGGAAATACGTGTGCACGGAGACACCCATATGTATGCATACACACATAGATATGTTATACGGAGACGTATGTGAATCCAACATAAGCAATCATGGATTATCTAACCAACAGAACGCAAAATTGGAAGTAATTGAAGCCAAGTAGCACACCCTTTTGATAAAATCACGCCCATTAGAATCTGTGTAGAATGTTTTGTTGGTTTCCATTGAGGTTGAAATCCTAGTGACAACTTCTTTACCAATTCCATCATCAATAGGTATGGGCCCAACCTGGAATTACAAATATAGCCAATGTATGTGATCGCATTTTGCATGTGAGAACCATAACTCCAAATCAATTACCACAGTGAATACACAAAAAGAAATAGTGAAAAATTAAAAATGACATATAAATGTATGCAATGATCATGAGAAAGAAAAGTATATAGTAAAAGCAACAATCAAAATCTTACAATAAACTCTACTTCAACGTGCTCTTTTTCCTTGTGCAGTCTGGTAATCTGCAAACAGATTTAATGCACATTACTTCAATTAGAAACTAACTTACACTTATTCATAGAAGAGCCTTTAGGAAGAGAAAAGGGTGAATTGCAAAAAAGAAAAGGGTAAGAAATACAGATCAAGAACGCAAATATTTCCAGGATGATCTCTCTGCTTTGCCAACATAGTGGCCTCTCTAAAGTAACCATCGGCTGTTTAAGAGGCTATGCAATACTATGCTAACCTTTTATGATATGAAAAATGAAGTGTCTGTTTAAGAGTTTATTCAATTTAGGTGCCTTTAGAGGAGGAGCTGGGAGGGCCAATTGCCTGCTTGATCCCACTGGTCATACTCTTATCAGTATCCAGGGCAAAATAATAACCCCAAACACTATAAGCATCTGAAGAGATTCCCTGCATAGGGTGTGGGCTTTAGCAGCATTTTCCCAGAACTTAAATGAATATCATTTGACAAGCGGTGGTGTTGGGAAAAGCTTCCTACAGAGGGCTTTGACGAGGGGAGATCGCTAACCAACAAGGAAGTCAAGTGAAGTGTCACCAAGTATTGTGGAGTGTGGCCCCAAAGACATTGGCTCTCCAAGGAGGACCAATTGATGGGAAGTAAGGTAGCATAAAATGCTATAAGGTAGTATGAGATGCTTTACAAGGTAATTATGTGGGCTGGCTCTCACATCTCAACAGCTAACTTGCGGAAGAGGATTCCAAATCTCACTTGAGTACTCATCAAACCTCAGAATGAGATTTTTCATTTCCCATAGCAGTAAATTAGACAACCAATTCAACTTGTCAACCTGACCTAAATGTGTTCCCTTACACAGTATTGCCTAGTTCCATTCAACATGTAATGTAGTAACATATTTCTGATGACCAAAACCGTTTTTTGGAAAACAAAAAAAAACCTTATGAATTAGACAGAAAATCAGTAACAGGCAAGATACCTGATATATCCATGGATTTATTTGTTGATGTACTTCATCTAGTAAGGGTCCACGCATAACAGTCAACGGAACCTGAAAGAATGGTATTTTTTAGCAGCAAGTTATGATGGAGCTTGGCATCAGAGAGAATATATTGCAGAAAGCATTCCAAACCTGTCTTTCATGATTTAGGAGATATGTGCTATTTGGACGGAATATATAGGCACCAGAATTCTGTGAGAAATTAGATTGCATGGTAAATAGAAGTTGCCTGGGAAAGCAAAATGTTACTGATATATGGGTATTTATACTAAAAAGGAATACCTGCGGCACTTCATCATTAGTTCCATTATATCCTGAGTAGTACAAATACCTCTGTTCAATCTGTTCATCAACCTTCCATTTCAAAAATAAAAGTGTTAAATAGAGTTCCACTTTTACTATCAGATACCAATAGTTATAACCAAAACCTAATTAAATTAAACAAGCTGAGGAAAAGTGAGAATATCACCAGTAGGCATGAAGACACTTAAGGCCATTAAAGGTTACTGAGTGATGTAATTGCAAGGAGAATGATTTTGCATACCGAGCTCCTGGTATTAACATAGTTGGTAAATTTTTCTTGATTTGCAGGAAATGCAAGCCTCAAATTCCCTTGACCAACTTCAATTTTGGATGTTTCACTAGTCCGATATGCATACACAGATGATCTGGCGGAACCTGCAGCTAAGCAGAGAGATTTGCCATTACAATTTCACCTTGCATGCATGAAAAGCAGATGATCACTTTCTCAACATATAATAGAGCAACCACATCTAGGAACCTGTCCTTTTAGCAGCTGAGACTCTGTATGTGCTAAAACCAAGAGGTGGTACAGATACTGTAAACGCAAGCCAATACTTGGGTGCCTTGGCTGGAGTTTCTCCCAGATATGCCATGACATGGTAGTTTCTTAAGGACGCATAGACCTCAGCCTGAGGTAGAAGTTGCGAAACTATTTCTTTACCCTCAGAATCATAAACTATAACATCTTCATTTGTGACCTGTAGAAGTTTGTGAATTAAAAGATCAAGAAATAAGACACTCAGTTATAATAACCTAAATACTTATAATAGCATGCAAAGACTCTCACTTACGCCATATTTAAATCTAAGACACAGTAAAGATGTTAAATTGACATCACTCACAGGAATTCGAACCACTTCATGCCTCCACCAGCCAAGAGAGTTGTAAACCACAATAACCTAGATATGCAGAGAGCTCGTAAGAAGGCATCCTTCAGAATTTATAGGGAATTCTACCTGTGTTGTGAATAGAAAAGGAAAAACAGGATAAAAGATAAGTTTTCCTTACCAAATTTTTCCCTTGAATCAGATCAACCTCTGATGGAGGACAATAACTTATATTCATGAGCGGACACTAAAATAAATGAAGAAGGAAAGAGATGTTAAAAGAAAATAGAAATGTCAAAATCACAAGCCAATACAAGTATAAGATACTATGATATAAGGATTCATGAAGCATGCCAATCAATTGCCGAATAACCAGCTTTGCGAATAATGGAGAAAATATCAAGAACAGCAGGTTGTACACAAAGCAATATCAAGATCAGGAGAAAAATTAAGATTTTAATGATGAAGAGTTTAGGTATGACAATTATCAAACCACATCACCTTATAAGTAAGAGAGATAGCATCAGAAGCTGTAACATAATACTGTGTTATAATAAGAATAGCAGCCTAAATTAAGAAGGAAGAACAGTATTTATAATTGAAAAAAAAATGCTGAAATAGAAATTGAGTGAGCCATTTGTATATTAGTACAGCCCAGGAGACTGCTCCAAACTAAAATATTGCTATCCAGAAGAAAAAAAGGAATAGAATCCATCAAATAAAATCAAAAGAACAAGTTTTCCTATATATGCACTAATAGTCTTTCCTACTAAGCTAATGACCTATAAGTGACTAGTAGCAGTTTTCAAAAGAGCTACAAGAACAGCTTTCAAGGATAGAAAAATTCAGGATATTCCAGCAAGATGCAACTAATAATAATATCCCACAAGCATGAAAGTCAAGAATTTTACCTGTTGAAACTTAGTAACTGGGTTCTGACATCCTGGAAATGACACAGACTCAACCAGGCAAGCAAGTGATGATGCAGCCAATTGCTCTGCCTGCACAAATTGCAGTATGCCACCGTATGAAACCCGGACAAAGTGGGTACACAGATTTAGAGGAAAACAAATAAACTGAGTATACACCTCTTTGTAGCCAATTGATAATCTTTTAGAATAATCATTGGCCACATGCTGCTTTTCGGTGCCAGAGACTCCATCATGGTGCTGAGCAATCGCTAAAGCATCAGCCAATGAATCAGTATTTGGCCCTGAATTCATCCTCCCCTTAAAATGTTCTAGCTGTCTCGCAGCCTAATAATTCATTGGCAAATATAAGCATCTGAACATCATTCTATTACGTTATATAAACTATAAATTCACAACTCATACCAAATAGTAGCCGCTCATTAATCTGACGTAGTATTTGAAGGCTGGCCTACTGGTAAAGTATCCTGTCCAGTAAGCATTTACTCGATCTGCATAGCTGTTATGTTTTCATGCACAGAATAAGGCAAAACACAAAGAGCTGAGCAAACAGAATATACAAAAATTAACTATTAAACTCAAACGGTTTCATGCAGAACACTCTTGTTTACCAAATAGGTGTGTGTGTGTGTGTGTGTGTTGCTTAACCTGCAATGTGCCAGTCAACCAAAAGAAGGAAACTATAAACTCACGGGAAGAAATCATCAGTCTTGAATGGCCATGACTCTTTTGCAGCATATTTTGCATCAGTATATACAGATGGTGTAGAGTAGAGGGCGTTGACACGTCCATCCTAAAGTTGTCACAAAACCATTTATCAATCCTTCAGTTCACCAGAAGACTAAAATAATGACAGCAAGTGAAATTGTGGCCTGAAGCACTGATCAAGACCAGCAATGCAGATCAGGGTATAGCATTAGTAGATAGAAGTGTTATTAATCGTATTCTCTATTATAATTACTGAATTACAGCATCTCTATTTCGGACAGTTAACTTCTGAAAAAGGCTGTTAGGAGACGGGATACCCACCTGACTAACTATCTACCACTTTTCACAAGTCTGAGCGAGAAACATAGGCGATTGTGCAATTGCTGAGTGAATAAATAAGCAACTCTGGAAGTGGGTACCAAATACTCAAATTTTGTATGAACTAGCGTTCACATTTCATGTCTTTTCAAAATTGTAATAGAGAATGCAGGCCACCAAACACCTTATAATGAGTATGGAGCTGGTATTTTACCCATGTATGTAATATCCCAAACTCCCAATACCAACCCACTGAACTCTTTGCCTTATTTATGTCATGGGTTAGAATTGTGCTCAAGACTTCTCTCTGCTCATGATTGTTTTGAAGTTCTTGAGTGTTGAGTCTAATTTGCAGAGGAATTGAGCAGATTTGTCATCCTTTTTAGCCTCCTCTCAGCTCTTCATCTTTTTTAACTTCTCTTTTTGGAAGATATTTTATCCCAAAAAAAATGTGCTCTCCTCATTCTGTTCAAGTTTTTTCTTCATATTTTTCTTGAGTGTCATCTTAGGATCATACTCCCCTAGGAGAAGAAATGATCATAAAAACTGAAATATACCAAATTAATGGAGCTAGTACCTCACTTTTCATTTTTTTCCTTTGAGAAATTACCTTGTTGACATAGTGAATAAGTTTGTCCAACTGCCTGAACCATGAGTGCGCATATTGATACTTAAAATCAGTTCCCATAGTCCACATTACATGATTTGTTCGAGTTATGTTTGCCTGAGGATGAAACAGTATCAGTCAGCAATCAAATTAGACCCTGCATGAAAGTCTATATATTTCCAACTTCATTAACATTCTTTATCTCGAGCATCACAAGCTCAAGGTACAATTTTTCATATATTTTACGATTAAAATGTGATATCAGTGTAGTTGAGATGGACTTTTACCAAGAATATAAGAACGTCTTTCTGAAACTATCATAAAAATAGAAGAAAGAAAAAAATAAGGATATTTACATGTTTGCATTAAAAGCAGGCAAAAATAAATAGAAATAAATGTTTGCCGTGCATGATTTATATGACTGGACAAATGAACTGAGAGGGCCTCAGGGTTGAAGCAGCCAAAAATAAGTGAACATTCATGATAATTCTTCCCATAAAAACGACAACCTGAAAAGACACTGCTACGACCTTCCATCTTTCCTGATTGGAAGTTTCTTATCAAAATTAGAAAAAGTAAAAGTCAAGCCATAGTTAAGAATACTGCTGCTTTATTCATGCCCCAAACAAGACAAGTTGGCAATAAATAAGGTGCAAGGAATATGGCAGAAATAGGTTGACATCTATAATGCTAAAGTTAGTCAAAAATGACCGTCTGTTAATTGCTCGTGGCAGAATACTGGAAGTTAATAAAAAACATATACCCCTCTCATTTGTGTGGAAAAATGCCTCATCCATCCAAAATCTTTTGGGAAAAATTACATGCAAAATCCCAGAAAACATATGAAATGCGGATTGCTCTACATTTGTAGAAGGATAAAAAGTTACATTGCTGCCATGACAGATTGGGGATAATGCCATATCAAAGTAGGGAAGAATCAATCCTAGGAAACAAAATATCGTTCTGAAGGATAGCTGGAGCATAATATCAGATCAAACTTCTTTTAAGAAAACAGAAAGAGATCAGAACATTGACTTCAAAAAAGGATGGACCAGTAGCAATCATATCATCTTCTAGCCATTTTCGCTTTCGATTATTCTGTGCCTTTTTAAGGATTATTCATGTTCTTATCTCTTATGGACCTTTTTCAATTCTAATAATATGTCTTTGGCTTTACTCAATGATATCATAGAAGCTGACTTGTCCAGAAGGTCCCAGAAAACTATAATCATTTACCTGTGATACAGCAGCAGCAACAAAGTCATTTACTCGATCTTGGACATTGTAATCAAATAGATCAATGTTATCCTTCACAAAAAAAGTAATCAAGATTTAGTAGTGCTAAAAAAAAAAAAAGGATTGAAGTGACCAAAATTAACAAGTTCTTCTTAAAATATATACTTGAACAATTGGTGAATCATCATTAACTTCAAAATAAAATCCAGCAGGTGGTTCATAATTCTCAGGGAAAGCACCAGCGAAGATCTGGAACACAAAGGAATGAGGAGACGACAAAACAGGAAGGGTAAGAGAACATCACCAGCTGTAAATAAACAAATCCAACTATACAAGGATTATATGAAAGAACTAATAATTTTTCACAGTCACCTGGGCAGACGAGCCAAGGCTCTTACTTCCCTGCCAGACAATCTCAAGACTCTTTTCATTTTTGCGCTTAGCTCTATCTTGATAATCTATTCGACCAAAGAAAAGAGAGTCAAAGCCAACCTGTATTTACAATTAGAATTAGAGGATAGCTCACAGAATTTGAACAACATGCACAATAGTTTTTCTTCTGTGGTTCAAGGTCTAAGGCATACTTCAGATCCCAATAAGTAAGCCTGCACAGCAGAATGTCCAAAAGGATCAATTTGCCAACCAATTCTAGGAGTCACGCCAAACTCCTCTTTCAGGAACCGATGTCCCATTGTTGTCTGATCAATCATATCTATGTAATGTGTTGCTGCCTCATCATGCATACACATGCCACCATTTCTGTGACAAGAGGGGAAAAAATGAGTCACAAAAAAAAATCGTCAGGACTCAAATCTCAGATAAATGGAGAGAGTCAAAATATATTTTCCGGAACACTCCAAACTTGATAAATAACTTTTTCTCAAGTAAAGAGAAAATTAAAACTATACTAAACAGAAAAGTAAATTACATGAACTCTAATTGACCCGAGCTGACAAGTTGCTTAACTTCATGCTTAATAGCTTCACTCTGGTCCCTCCACCATCGCTGAAAAAAAGCCTGCATTAATGATGAAACAATGTAAAAATTTATCCTGGTAATTATTGAAAGCATTAAAAAACATTAACGACTGTTGTAAGCTAGCACAAAAACTACACTATTAAATGATCATATGTTTGCCCATGCTTAACAAAGTGTACACAAAACAAAGACATTGAAGGCATAAAAAAGAGGAAAAGTCCGTCATAAGTATAGTATTGTGGAACAAACAAGAAATCTGATATATACTCTTCTGGTCCCATTTATAAAATAGAAAAAGAAGGTTTTTTTTTTGTCTTATTTATAAGTCATCTCATTAAATTTTTAGTATGAATGTAATATCTTATCCTTCATTTATTACAGTGCTGATGGTTATTTTTTTTGTAAAGTGTGTATGTTAAATAGAAACAAAGTTAGAAAGTTGTAAATTTTAAAGAAAAGTTAATACAGTTTAAGAGGTTTTTTTTTTTTTGTCTGTGTGAAATATGTTAGAAATACCCTATAAATAGGACCAGAGGAGTAAATCTTTAGCTAACTTTTCTAATGTGGTACAATAGAAAGGTTTTTAAGGAAATAAGTATCAGAATGGGAAAGGGAAATGAGCCTTTCACGTAACCAATTTTGGCATGCGGTAAGGATTAAAAAAAAAATAGAAATATTTGAAACTTAGAATTTGAAGGGGGGCAGGAAAAGCAAATGACACACCTGCTGGTGATGTTCTCTTATAAAAAAAGACATGTCTCGCCTTTTTTTTTTGGGGGGGGGGGGGGGAGAGACGTGACTAGTCTTGAACAATAGAAAGTGGCATTATTTTCGTCCTTGACATCATGGTTTCTAAGGGAAGTGACATTTCTTGAACTCCCATTCCTTTCTACCAAACATAACCGTACAATGTGATAATTTGGTCTGGGATTTCTAGATATTTTTAATTATCAATTTCACAAGCATGACAAGCCTATCACACTGCGAAGCTGCATTAATCTAAACTGGGGCAATTTCATGTTAGACATCCGAATTCCAAACAGGTAGTACATTACTTTGATTTATCAAAATTCATTGTGGACATGTGAAATTTGCGGACATTATAAATAAATTAGACGTTGGCGCGCCATTTCAAGAAATTGTAATTCCATAGTTTTGCAAGATTTCTCGATTTCCTTCCTCATTTATCAGTACCACAAGTATTAGACTACTAGCAAATACCATCGAAATTAGCAGGAAGCCGCATAGACCAAGGGAAAGCAAATTGTTTTATAAGACAGAAACAAGAGTTCGCCTTTTCAAAATTAATAGAAGGGGTCTGGAAATTGCGCCAGTTAAAAGTACATTAAACAGGCAGGTAGGGCCTTCAAAGTTTGAACTTTGAACTAAAATTCCAAAGGCCTGATGTTTATGGAACCATAATTCCAACTTTTGAAATATTTTCATCTGGGTTGCTCAGTAATCGGCAGTAGTAATTTACGGACAGAAAAGATAGCCAGAAGTAAAGGGCATGGGAGAAGCAACTCACTATCTCAACGTAGATAAATTTCCGATTCTTGTCAGCCAACAGCGAAGGAACTAAGGAATCTAATACATTCTGAACACAAGCTCCCTACAAAATTCAACAGGATAAGTATATGAAATTCACAATTTCTGTACGATATATTGTGCAAATTGTAAAAGTGACAGTGAGTGAGAGAAAGACCTGAATCGAATTATTAGAGCCAACATAGTACTGATCAACGGTCTTCAACCAACCAACGTCGTCGTGGGTGTGAGGAACCAGATGAACGTTTAGCTTACCGGGAACTACGCTCTGTGAGGTGTTATACACTATGAACTTGGATTGCCCACAAAAGATTGCTCCAAAAAGGAACAGCAAAAATAGTAACTGATTCGCCATTAGAAGCTCACGCCAATCCCTCTTGTAAAGCAACTCCGGACCCTCAAACAAAATCGTATCTTCCCTCAGTCTCCCGCTTGGTGTTCATGCACAGCACTATTGTTACCATTCAGCAGACTAATTTTCACGGCGATTTTCAGTCGTACGAAGCTCTTTTGACTTCACCTTCTTCTTAGAGATGCAGCCAAAATCAGTCTAGTGTTTCGTAGATCAACTTTCTTTGACATCTGCCAAAACCAATGCTATTTCCGAAGTTCTGATAAGAAGCGGACAGGCCTATAGTAGATAATCCATGTTTCTTGTCAAGTCACAATCCCAAGTGACAACTAAAGTTTTGCATTTAAATTCTTGGCAACATTTTCGACAAAAAATTAATTCTTAATTTTACTTGCTTTTTTTTTCTCCTGATTTAGTGGTTTGGATAAGAGGCTGACGGGGCTATGATAGAAAATATGTCTTTCTAGACTCTAGTTAAGTCATGCCAATCAAAGTTTTATATATATCCATTACCTACGGGCAAAAAAATCTCCGCAACTAAAATGTAAAATGTAAAAACGTGTTTGGTAATTCGTATTTTATTTCAGTAGTATTCCAGAAATTTAATATTTTGGGTGAGAACTGGAGGACTATAATAGATAATCTGCATCTAAAATGTAAAAACGTGTTTGGTAATTCGTTGATTTTAGCTGCTGTCAAAAAAAAAAAAAACGTTCAAATTGCTTTGACCGAGATTAGTCCTCCAATGATAATAAATGCTAACTCCTATAGGACCCCATCAACAACGAATAAAGTCTTCTAAATAGAAAACAGTGTCTTATAAATAAGATGGTAGTACGTTCTGAGTCAATACAAAAATGATAATTACAGATCTGCCTAATTGAAATCAGATGTTGCCCGCCTTGTAAGTATTTTTAGCAATAATTTTATGAATTTATTTAAATTTTTGAGCTTGACAACTTTTATATGTATTACTAAATGAGGCTGTCACTAATTAAAAAATATCGTTTTTCAAGAAGTGTGTATGTATGCGTACGCATGTATCAACAATTACATTTTTAAGTCAATTAAAGATGAATCTGTTTTTTTTTGGGTGAAAAAAACAAAGAATACGTTGAGCAATCTTGAAGAGGAATCTCCTAAGTCCTAACCAGCAGGAAAAGTAAAAAAAAAAAAAATCAAAAATACTTTTTTCCCCCTCCATAGCGGCCACATGGATTACAGCACCAAACTTAAAGGACCTTTTATAAGCTACTGGCCGGTGAACCTGACCCAAAGAAAAGATCAGGCCGAGCATTGGGCTATTAGTGATGCCCGACCCAGCTGGCAGGCACCCGACCACGCTATTCGGACGAGTTTTTTAAAAAATTGATAAGAAAATCATTAAAATATTTTTGGTACGGATGAGCTTGAGATGGCAGATAGTGGCGGTGTCTATAGAGTCAATCAGACACAGCCCAATGACCTGACATGATAGCTGTTAGAACCAGTAATATAAATTGAATCCGTGAGTTTAACTAACCAACCCGTTAAAAAGAAAAGGGTAAGATTGGCCAAAAACCAACCCACCACTATCTCAAAAAATATAACCTGAACTTGTGAGTCAACCCACCTATTATTTTTAATAACAAAGGCAAAAGTAAAAAAAAACCTTCCACTTCAAATTTTATTGCTATTAGAGATAATTAGATAAATAGGGTTATTCAGTGTTACTCATTGATTTCATTGAAAAAAATGTATAAACTTGCATATTACTCTCTCTGTTCCTTATTATAAGAGACGGATAATCGAATTACGTTGATAAAAAAGCAGTTAAAATTAGTTAAGAACAATCAATGTGTAAAAAATATAATTTTTTTCCAAAAATGCCCTCATTAATAAGTTGAGAAGTATGAGAGAGAACAATTAAATTATTGAAAGAAAGAAAAGTGAGAGGGAGAGAGTGTGTGAATTGGAGACAATAAATATGGGTAAAATAGGAAATCAACACAAAAAAGTAGAGACAACTTTTAAGTGTCTCTTGTATATAAGAACATGACATAAGCACCAAATGTCTCTTATAATAAGGAACAGAGGGAGTATCATATTAGAAAATTGAACAATCATATGCTATTTGTATTTTATTGTGTTGTAATTTTTATTTGGATGTTTATAATATTTTATATCATTTCTAGTGTTTTTATTTGTTATTATAGATAATTGCTAACATTTTAAAAAAATAGGAAAAATAAAAAAAGAAGGAAAAAAATATAAATTCTAGTAGGTTGACCAAACCACCTTGGTGGGTTAGGGTTTGCATTCTGCAAATCCCCCAGAAAATGAGCCTTTTAAACCTGTAATGTGTAGCCACAGCCCATCACGACTACTCACAGGCCAACCCCCAACCTGCGGGTTGGCTCATTTTACCAACCCTAGTAGTTGTTTTGCATGTTCAAATACAAGATAGTAGTACTGCTTCCGGTCCTTAATATAAGTTAAGTTAGTTGACTAATTTAAATAGATTAAAAAAACTAATAAAACTAGTTACTTGTAATAAATAGATATTGTCTTTCCTAAAGTATTCTACTATTATTATAAGGATTATCTTTAAAAACATGAATAAATATGAGAGGTAAGGCAAACTGGGGTCTTATATTAAAGATTAAAATAAAAATCAAATAACTCAATAATATGGAGGCATGCGTGTTATGATACATATTTTCATCATTAATTTGCTGACCATTAATAATGTTATGGAGCTGGTAAAAGAAAGCACCGTTACCGCAGATTTTACCGGATTTTAAAAGCCGCCCCTATTTACATTAATTTACGAATTGTATACCTATAGAAAACTGTAAAGCCCATGAATAGGTTATCAGTATTCTATGTATTCAATTGTAAATAATAAACGCCAGTTTATTGACTACCCCCTCCTATTCTTATTATAAATTTTAAATAAGTAATTTATTAAAATTAGTTAAAAGTAATAAATAATTTAAAGTGTATTTGTATTTTTAAATATATCTTTGAAATAAATAAATAAAAATATGTGAAAATGTGATAAGAAAAGTACAATAAATAATTAAAAAATATATTAAATGTTAAAACAATTCAAAATAAAACTTATAAAATATATCACATCTCTTTAAAATTCCAAGGTTATGAATAGGACGGGGCTATAACGAGTGGCAATGTCTTTGGCTGCTCAAGTTGTATTTAAGATAATTAAATATCAAAACTATAAATAATCAACGACTTTATTCTGTTTAAATTTTCACGAATCATGTGGTTCTTGATCTCAGAAAGGTAAATGTCTTGTATAGTTTCGTTTGAAAATGAAAAAAAAAAAGAAGCTTATGAAGCACATTTACTGGAAAAATGATATAAAAATAAGTTAAGAATTGTAATATGCTAGTTCAGACACATAAGACTTCAACGTCTCAAGGAAAAAATGATGTGTGATCGGATAGTTTGCAAATATAATTAAATGTTAAAAATGTCATTACATCAAAAAGGTTATTAACAAGTTATGAATAATGATAAGCGTTGAATAGTAAATGATAAAAAATATACTGTCAGTGATAAGTCATTTGTTAGTCATGAACTGATAATAACAAATATTAAATAGCTAATAACAATAAATATATTAGCAATAACAAATTTGATATTTTTTATTTAAATATAATATAAAGACATTTTAATTATTTGACTACACTTGTAAAATACTAAATCAAATATTACTCTCTCTTCTAAATTTTTGAACTCCTAAACACCTGAATTTAAATATTCCAATTTGTAATTTCATTTTATGTTATTTTCCCTACACATTGTTTGAGTAGTTTTCCTGAAATTTTAATCAATCTCAGCACTTTCTCATAAGCAATGAGAAAGTACTTTGCGTGGGAAAAAAAACGCATAAAAAAAGCATAGATATTTAATAATGAGAATTTCTTTTATTTATGATTTTTTAACTATTAAATAAAATTATATTTAAAATTATTATTAATTAAATAAAAAAACTCTTCTGATCATAAATATAAAACCATTATATTATATATAAAGGTATTGTATATAAGAGTCTTATATTTAAAATTGGATGAGTAGTTAAATAATCCAAACAGGAAGCGGTCGCCGGTATATGACGTGAGGCGGTGCGTCATCCACCTATTCAAATGTTGACCAGGGTTGGTCCCGATATTCCCTAGTCACGATCCCTTTCCCGGGTCCCACCCTGGCCATAGGCGTGCTCTCACCATTATAAAAACAACTCCATATTTTATACGCAGACGTGATACAATTAAGTCCACAGATCAATTATAAATAAACAGTATGCTTGTTTTAATGATCTTTATATAATGGACATGTTATCTGTCAACCATATATCGTTGACAAATCTCTTCCTTTACACGTTCACATCCGGCATTTGACATTTCAATAATTGAAATATATTTTCAACTAATAATTGAAACATATTTATACCACATATCAAACAATTATTTGATAATTGAGTTGTGAGTTTATGCATGGAATATCTTTGTTGCTCAATTAACTCGGCCCTTTGTTTTCGTGACAGTAGTGTGATTCTTAGACATTGTCTTGGTAATAATATCACTTGTCACATTTAGATAAAATTTTGAATTCAGTATATTTAATTATATTTTTTTAGTTTTAAATATAATACTTGAAGAATTTTATATTTAGGACAGGAAGATATTAAATTTAAAAAACATAAAAAGAATACCATTCTTATTTTAGATCGTAACTATTGGTTGGAGCCGGCTTAATTTGATAATTTCCATGGCATGCTTACGTGTATATGCTCAATATCTGTACTTTATAATTTAGGCCAGATGAAGTGAAACGAAATAGAAAAAAGATCTCTGACCAGAAAGAAATAGAAAAATGATCGAATAACGATGCAGGATTTTTTTTTTCAGGTAAGTCAGGCAAGTAAAAAAAAAAAAAAAGGTCCGAAATGATGCAGCAATTAATATGCGATTTGTGAAAATATATTAAGTTGTAGTCATTATTAGATGCAACCACGCGAAATGATTAAAAGGGAAATCTTTAGTTGATTGAGAAATAAAAAAAGGAAAGATACTGCTTTAACAAAATCTCACGAAAAAGATATCCCTAACATACAGCACGTGTTGTTTGGATTGCCGAAAAGCTAAATTACTGGAGGAGTCATGTATCTATATTCTATATGCATATGTGTGTATATATACATTGTGGGTATTCATGAGGCTCTTCTACTCGAACTCAATTAAATTATGCCCAATCTAACCCTGAAATAACAGCCCAAATAATAACCGGATTTTTTTGGGTAGGACCAAATATCAGGTAAGGCCTGGAGTTTATATAATCTTCCGATCCTAAATATAAGATTTTTATATATACTAATATAAGAGTCCTATATTTAAAACATAAGAATTATATAATTATATTTAATAATTTTTAAGAACAGTATTTCTGGCATGATTCCAACCAGTTTGCTATTGTTCCAGTGATATTCCCACAATAACATGTAAACATCATGAGTAAATTAACTGAGACCTGAAAAAATTAAATTTTAATCTGAGGCTTATTCCTGAGAAAATCACATAGAAATCTCATGTGAAGAATTTAAGCATCAATTAACCCAATTTATACAAAATGTTACAGGCCAGCATGTTAATACCACGCATACACTGGCACATGTGTGGTTATGAGTTGTTGGCTCGCATAGCATCAGTTAAACATGTATAAATTATATATAACATCCCCTCTAAATTTTTTTTTCCCTTATTACTCTAGATTTCAATAATTTATCCCCTCAAAATTAACCTCTAATAACGACCTTGGTCATGCTTAGCAAGCATATAAATTCAAGGCATTTGTGCATTGGCAAATAAATTTATAATCTTATAATTATTTGATCCCTATAAGAAAAACCTTCCCAAATTAAATTGTGCATTTAGGTGCAGATTCAGTGTATCTCCACGCACATGCACTTGATTCTATACTTCATATATGGACAAGGGCACAAGGCAATCTCCTCGGCGAGGGGTGTGATTGTGATGCACTGATGCCGACGAAGCCTACCACCTTGCACAATTCGCAGCCACGTGTAAAACCTAAACATGCCAACCTACTTTTTTAAAATTTACTTCCCCGAAAAGGAAAAACATTTTTGAAAAATAAATAATATTATTTTCAATTTTATCTTTAATCAAAAATTGTTTTTTGGCACCTCCAAATCTCGAAGAGCCAGACAAAGAACGCCTCTCACTTTAACGTGCAGCAATGAAAACCCTACAAGCAAGCCCCATGTTATCTTGTTCTTATGCGTCTCTTTAATTTCATCTTCTCTTTCTTACTTAAGATATGACGAGTGAACAACGTATCCTTTTCTTCTGATCTTTGCTCTCATCCACTATTCTCGATCATTCTTTTCGATTACAAATCTCAGATCTCTCTAGCTAGCATAGCTCCCTCCCTTTCTGCTTTCATCAGCTGGGAGAAGCAACGCCAGTGAGCTTATAATCGGAGAGGAGGTTATTATAATACTGAAAGTGGTCAAAGAGAGCTGAACAAGGTGGATCGAAGGCATGGGAAGAGACCTCTACCTTCTGATCATGATGCATCAGAGGCCAAAAGAGAAGATTTCATCATGTCTCGGCCTCACCCATCACCGTCCGATCAGACCCAAAAGGAAGAAACCTCACCTTCTACCTTTTCGCATCTTATCAGCACCAGTGATACTAAAACCTTCTCCGTCCCAATCTCACATGGTCAAGTAAGCACCTCTTCTGGGTTTGGGTTGATCCAGAAGCTGGATCGATCCCAGCCTCCACATCAAAATCAAGGTAATTAATTAAGGTCCCGTGCCCCTTTTCTTAATTTTCAAGAATATTGCCAATAATTCTTATGCATCACAGGATGATAGGTCTGTATAAACACCTGAGCCCATGCTAATTTTCCAATACAATACTTTACAAAGATATTTCCATCAATTATTAACCCGAGTGCAACTAGGGTTACTTCAATTTCAACTGCTCCAAAACATGATATTGATCTCGATCCACTATTTGTTTTTAGGCTTGTGTCTATCCGATAATGATGTTGATCATACCGACAAGTGGTTCGGTACGGTATATATTTGCAGTGTGCACTTACCATTGGTGGATCGTATTGTCTTCATATATGTAGTTTGAAAACTATTTCTTTCCCCTTAAACAGCCAGTAGTGCAATATATTTTCTAAAAAAATGTTGAACTTGGACGCTTTGAAAGGTAACAATGTAAGAAAAAGGAACTATAGAGGAGTGAGGCAGAGACCATGGGGGAAGTGGGCAGCCGAAATCCGAGACCCTAAAAAAGCGGCTAGAGTGTGGCTTGGCACCTTCGAGACGGCCGAGGATGCAGCCGCAGCTTATGATGCTGCAGCATTAAGGTTCAAAGGAAGCAAAGCTAAACTTAATTTCCCCGAACGTGTTTCTTTAGCTACTTCTTCAGCCATCCCTTCAGCACAAACCCAGCTTCGTGCTGCTCCTGCTCCGCCGATACAGGAGGCGGCGCAAACTGTGTCTTGGCCTCCGGCGCCATCGACGGACAATGAAGGGTTCCCAAATCTATGGCAGTACGCGCAGCTACTTCGTGGTGGTGATGCCGACCTCCAAAGAGCTGCTTCGGGACTTCATAGTTATCAGAATGATCCGTTTCTTTTTGATTCTTCTACGTTATTCTCGTCATCATCAGGCATGTCTTCTACTTCGTCTGCTTCTATGTCGTCTGGGTCTGATCAACGCCAGGTTCAAGATACGCAGAGAGTAGCACAGGAAGGAGATTATTATGGAGGTTCTTCTTCTCCCGGTTCTTGTTTCCTTGATGAAGGAAACACGAGGAGATAGTTTTACGAAGCTTCCATACTCACACCTGAACAGCCGGTGCATGCAGTGGAGGAGCGGGTAATTATGTCCGTTCATATAGCTAGCCTGCAGATTTTTCAGTTTGACTAGCACCTCTAACTAATTCTGAAACATTTATACGAAGGATACATTCCTTTTTCTTTGGTATAAACATATATGTTCTATTCTGTTAATTCAAGGACGCAGTTGTCTTTGTTTAATCATTGATATTTAGCACCATTATAGATTTTGATTCTTTGCGAGTTGTATGCGGCTTCGTGGCGAAAATATAATCTCATCATCTGTGTGCTTAATGAAGGTATAGAAACTTACATAAGTGGTTATATACGAGGTTTAGAGCAATTTTCTTGCCTCCACCATCTAGTTTCCAAGCAAACTAGCATAATTCAAGCATGTAATAGTTACTGTTAGTTTCATTAGTGTCTTTTTTTCAATGAGATTGGTTATGAGTGAGAGAAACAAGACGCGTGCTTTATCCGAGATACTCGAGATATGTGTTGAAACCTAATTAATAATATGTAATTATATATGCTTATAGATCATGGTATTGATAAGTTCATAATGTATATACTTGAACGGTCGAGTAAAACTATTCACATGGTAAGCATTCTATGCAGCGAAACCAGTGCGATACTCGCGCATAGCAAACCAAACCAACTCCATGATAAATGTGAAAGAAGAGTAAATGCGCGTCTTAGTTTTTCGGGTCGGAGTTTAATGGGTGAATAATTGCGTTAAGAACATTAAAAATATGACCGACACTGTCAAAGGAAAAAAATGACGATCATGTGCAAAACATAGGTTGTTGTTCTGGAGAAGAAGAAATAATCACATCAAAGTAAGTCATAACTGACAGTTACGTCGAAAGATTTTTGTGGGGTTGGAAGTTTCATTAGAGATTCTGATCAACTAAGCCAGCGGCAAGCAGTTAATTTGTCTGGGTATGACTTCAGAGAAATTGAGAATTCAGATTCGTACGTGGAGTCAATGTTTGCGTCTATTATGCCCTTTTGTCCTCTTGGAGTATTCGCCGGGTTCTTACACCGCAAGCTGCTTCGGCAATTGGAGAACGCCGACGTCCTTTTTAATAACATGATTTGCGCTCTAGGAACTGCAACTACCTATTGATATTTTGGCCCATGGCACCGTCGTCAACCTAACAAAACATGAGTCAAAATGTACAGGTGGCACGTTCTAGATCGATCACGTCCATTCGGCGCTAGGGAATGGATGGAGGAGGAGGAAATGAAAAATTTTAATGGGTTTCAATTGTTTATAAAATTGAAGAAGCAGGGTTCAATTTTTTAAATGTTTTTTTTATCGAAATTTTATAAATCTACTTCTTTAATTTTTCAAAACAAGTTTAGTAAAAGTTTCTCTCCTCCCCCTTCTCTTCAATTCTCCTGTATTAAACATAAGGTAAGAGGAGAGTTGATCTCATCTCCCCAAACTTTCATTCATAGAATGCGAGCAGGAAAAAAATTGTACTCATTTAATTCTTAATATAGGACTTAATTATTAAGTTAATTTTGGTTCTAAATATAAGACATTTATCATATTTATCAATTTTTTTAAAATTATCCATATGAATCTCTCTCAACCATAATCAAATAGAAGAGGGAAAGAGGATATTAAGGAAGATAATTATGGTGTTTTAGGAAAAAAAATATGTCATATTTCTTATGATTAACTAACTTACCTAACTTTTTTAATCTAATCAAATTAATTAAATTAGTCTTGTATTAAAGACGAGAGGAGTATGCCAATTTTCCTTTAAGGTTATTAGAATTGAGCCGATGAGGACAAGTTAACTATATATGTATATCAAGTTATCGACGTCTTGTCCCCTTCGATCTCATGCTTGTATTTTAATAGGATTTATCACGAGAATAAGTCGGCGTCGTCCAGCGTGTATTGGGCGTCCGATCTTGAGGATATGTAGAAGTGTGGACTGGATCCCCTGGTGGCATCAGGATGACATACCCCAACAATGCTTTTGATTTTTTTTTTTTTGGGCGAAAACTATGCTTTTGAGTGTTGACTATTCGGAGGCATCGCCGAATTGGAGAACCGTGAAAGTTTGGACGACCCTCCTTGTAAACTGTAATTCTCCCTTCCCCTCTATTTCCATCTACCCAATGGAGGGAGGGAAAGTTGGGATAATGGGAGGGGAACAGGCCCAAATGAAATGGGCTTGCAGCTTTGATTGACTTGTCAACAGAAGACACACAATACCACTGCGTCCAGAACTCCAGATTCTAGAGCATCCGGATCTCGCGCATGCCAGAAGATGGATGAACCATTAAAAATGAATATTCTAAATTCTCTATTTAATTTTGAAGTTTCGAACGTAATTTTATCTTTTTATAAGAATTTTAACTTTTTGTTTAAAAGCAACTGATATTCTAATTTTCGAAAAAAGAAGACGCGCAACTCGTCCATACTAAGTGAATAAGAAAGACCATGGCACTTTTTTAATAAGAAATACTTTTAATTATTGTCTTATTAATTAATAAGATAACGATTAAAACTATTCAAGATTTTAAAAATCAATATTTAATATAATAAATTATTTTTATTACTAATTTTCATATATGACCTCCATAAAGAATCTTTTTCTTAAAAGGAAATATTATTAACATTGCAAAAACATTGACAAATTAAATATCTACTTACTCTAAAATATAAAATTCATATCACCTTGATAAATATTTATATGCGATTATTTCTTACATAATTTAAAATTTAATTTTTCAGTTTTATTTTTAGTCGTTTATAAATTCTTGAGATTTTTTTTTTTGGCCGACTACTCTTAAGAAGTGGAGACTCTAGCGTCATTATAAATTATAAATTATAGTAAAATCATTAAAACCACGCATTACAGAAGCGGTGCCAATTTCTATTATACGAGTATCTTCTCAATTCCAAGTTTTCCTGAGGCGCAGTAGCTAGGGATTTGGCAGCGGAACAAAGGCCGAAGAAAGACAAAGAGGAAGATGTTGAGGCTCGCGTCGAGGAGGCTTTCCTCCATCTCTTCATCTCCATGGAGAGCCGACCAGGCTATGTCGGCTTTCTTCTCTCGAAACTCTATTAAATCCGGCGGTTCTTCCTCCTCCGATCGCAACAGATCCTCTCCCGATGCTGGTCATTTTTCTCTCAGGCCCGACTTCCTTGTTCCCTTCAGAGGTTAGGGTTTCCTCCCCTTTCTTTATTTTGCGGTTCTTTTACAATCACTGGACACAAATTATTTGATTGAATCGGTGAATCTCGATTCATCTGAGTCTTTAAATCTATGCATGTAACTTTTCATTTTCCCATTGGCCGTTGCGATTTCCTTTTTATTTGGCTTGGATGGAGCGTTTGCATGATGAATTTGACGCCTGGTTCCTGTTTGTAGTAAAAGATGACATCTAGATACTGGAACTTATGCTCGAAACTGAAGTAATTACAAATTGACATGAGTGAATGATTCATTGCAATCATGGACTCCTTCTGGATCCGAGTATTGATTTGAATCTATACGTCGTTCAAAATTTGTAGCGTGCTTTGTTAGTTGGTCTGTCCTCTCTCTTTTCCTCGAGTTCCTTCGCTGGATTCTCACATTTTTTAGTGTTGTTTCAGTTTACTTGTGAAATAGTTTCATTTTGAAGGTTTGGTTTGGCTTTTACTATCATCCCTCTCTTGAAGATTGGGTATAAACTGCATGTTTGGGAGAGCCATAGTTAGTTATTGCTTTACGCGGCGAAACTAATGGCGAAATATTGCTGGTGTTTTTACCATTTTTATTAGTTCTGATTGGAGTAACTTATCTTGCCCGTTTGGAAGTTTCAGTCCCCCCCCCCCCAAACACTGGTTATGAACCTCTACGGGTCAAATGTTAGCACCAGTGTCTCCAGCTTGAAGGATACTTATTTTGAAGGATAAACATCTTTTTTCAGGGGCTCCGAAAACAGTTTTTGGCTGAAACTCTGAACATTGTGTGCCAGGGCAAATATTAGAATTTGCATCTCCTCCGTACACCTGATTAAACACTTTATATTAAGCCATTAGTTGATCAGTTCATCTGTTCAGTGAGGCCTATTTTTTCCATGCTAATTGTTTGAAATTGGTTTCCTCCAGGTTTTTCTACTGACACGCTTGTCCATCCAAAGGAAAGTAGCATTATTTCAGAGATTCCTCCTACTGTCGCAGCTATTAAGAATCCTACTTCTAAGATTGTTTATGATGAACACAACCATGAACGATTTCCTCCAGGGGACCCGAGCAAGAGGGCATTTGCCTACTTTGTCCTAACTGGTGGTAGGTTTGTGTATGCTTCTCTAATCCGTCTTCTTATTCTCAAGTTCGTGCTCAGCATGTCAGCTAGTAAGGATGTTCTTGCTATGGCCTCCCTGGAGGTTGATCTGTCTAGCATTGAGCCTGGCTCTACAGTGACTGTTAAGTGGCGTGGAAAGCCTGTGTTCATCCGTCGTCGAACAGAGGATGATATTAAGCTGGCAAACAGTGTTGATGTTGGATCTCTTCGTGACCCTCAGCAGGATGCAGAGAGAGTGAAGAACCCAGAGTGGCTTATTGTGATTGGCGTTTGCACGCATTTGGGTTGCATTCCCCTGCCAAATGCTGGCGACTTTGGTGGATGGTTCTGCCCTTGCCATGGTTCACATTATGATGTTTCTGGCAGAATTAGGAAGGGGCCAGCGCCTTACAATCTGGAGGTACCAACTTATACCTTCTTGGATGAGAACAAATTGATGATTGGTTGAAGCTCTTGGCGCCGCTTTTTGTGGGGATAAGGTTATTCAGGCACAACTTTTTGTCATTTATTCGTTATCTTCAAAATTTGCCTTGGACATCTCTCATCGAGTCCCATATTTGGGTTTGTTTAGATGTGTTAATGTAACTCAGAGAAAACTTTTACTGTCTGGCGAGACCAATTTGAATAATCGCCTGGCTTTTGCTAGCGTATAAATGCTTAAAACTGA